ATTATAAACGATTTCATTCGTGTTTTCAAAATTATGAAATTTAAGTTATTCTAACGACGAAAATGTCAATAAAAAAATTTTGGGAACTGACTTTTTATGTTATGCGTTAATTTTGTTCGGTAGAATTCTGAAAATAGTTGGGGTCCATTAACTTTTTTAAAGTGGTGTAGTGAGGAAAAAAGTAGATTCTTGAATGTGAACAGACAAGTGGAGGTGCCGTGGACATAGAGAGAGGAGTTGCCTCACCTGGAGAGAAGAGTTATCTCACCTGGGAAGGTGACGAGAGAGCAGCCTGCGTCAGGCGGCTGCGTCAGCTGGTCGCAGGCCGGAGCGATGACGCACGCAGCTGTCACAACATGTTGAGTGGTGCTAGAGTGTGTTTCAAGTCTTATCGTTCAGCAGTTTTAATATTTATTACAGACCAACTAAAAATTATCATGTGGCAGCATTAACCATCTTTAGTTATATGATGATAATATTTGGATATCTGACTCATGTGACTCATGCAGGTGACTCATCGCCTGCATTTGGATATCTCTCATTAGCTACAGAACTGGCCACTCTCAATACTAGTTGATCTGGCTACTCTCACTAACAACAGGTCTGGCTACTCTCACTAACAACAGGTCTGGCTACTCTCACTAACAACAGGTCTGGCTACTACACACTAACAACAGGTCTGGCTACTACACACTAACAACAGGTCTGGCTACTCTCACTAACAACAGGTCTGGCTACTCTCACTAACAACAGGTCTGGCTACTCTCACTAACAACAGGTCTGGCTACTACACACTAACAACAGGTCTGGCTACTACACACAAACAACAGGTCTGGCTACTCTCACTAAGAACAGGTCTGGCTACTCTCACTAACAACAGGTCTGGCTACTACACACTAACAACAGGTCTGGCTACTCTCACTAAGAACAGGTCTGGCTACTCTCACTAACAACAGGTCTGGCTACTACACACTAACAACAGGTCTGGCTACTCTCACTAACAACAGGTCTGGCTACTCTCACTAACAACAGGTCTGGCTACTATTACTAACAACAGGTCTGGCTACTACACACTAACAACAGGTCTGGCTACTACACACTAACAACAGGTCTGGCTACTCTCACTAAGAACAGGTCTGGCTACTTTCACTAACAACAGGTCTGGCTACTCTCACTAACAACAGGTCTGGCTACTACACACTAACAACAGGTCTGGCTACTACACACTAACAACAGGTCTGGCTACTCTCACTAACAACAGGTCTGGCTACTCTCACTAACAACAGGTCTGGCTACTCTCACTAACAACAGGTCTGGCTACTACACACTAACAACAGGTCTGGCTACTCTCACTAACAACAGGTCTGGCTACTACACACTAACAACAGGTCTGGCTACTCTCACTAACAACAGGTCTGGCTACTCTCACTAACCACAGGTCTGGCTACTCTCACTAACAACAGGTCTGGCTACTCTCACTAACAACAGGTCTGGCTACTCTCACTAACAACAGGTCTGGCTACTCTCACTAACAACAGGTCTGGCTACTACACACTAACAACAGGTCTGGCTACTCTCACTAACAACAGGTCTGGCTACTCTCACTAACAGCAGGTCTGGCTACTCTCACTAACAACAGGTCAGGCTACTCTCACTAACAACAGGTCTGGCTACTCTCACTAACAACAGGTCTGGCTACTCTCACTAACAACAGGTCTGGCTACTCTCACTAACAACAGGTCTGGCTACTCTCACTAACAACAGGTCTGGCTACTCTCACTAACAACAGGTCTAGCTACTCTCACTAACAACAGGTCTGGCTACTCTCACTAACAACAGGTCTGGCTACTACACACTAACAACAGGTCTGGCTACTCTCACTAACAACAGGTCTGGCTACTCTCACTAACAACAGGTCTGGCTACTCTCATCAGTGGCACATCAGCATGTACTCACCCAGTGCTTGAGTGCCAGCGGCACCTCAGCATGTACTCACCCAGTGCTTGAGTGCCAGCGGCACATCAGCATGTACTCACCCAGTGCTTGAGTGCCAGCGGCACCTCAGCATGTACTCACCCAGTGCTTGAGTGCCAGCGGCACCTCAGCATGTACTCACCCAGTGCTTGAGTGCCAGCGGCACATCAGCATGTACTCACCCAGTGCTTGAGTGCCAGCGGCACGTCAGCATGTACTCACCCAGTGCTTGAGTGCCAGCGGCACCTCAGCATGTACTCACCCAGTGCTTGAGTGCCAGCGGCACCTCAGCATGTACTCACCCAGTGCTTGAGTGCCAGCGGCACCTCAGCATGTACTCACCCAGTGCTTGAGTGCCAGCGGCACATCAGCATGTACTCACCCAGTGCTTGAGTGCCAGCGGCACCTCAGCTTGTACTCACCCAGTGCTTGAGTGCCAGCGGCACCTCAGCTTGTACTCACCCAGTGCTTGAGTGCCAGCGGCACCTCAGCTTGTACTCATCCAGTGCTTGAGTGCCAGCGGCACCTCAGCATGTACTCACCCAGTGCCTGAGTGCCAGCGGCACCTCAGCATGTACTCACCCAGTGCTTGAGTGCCAGCGGCACCTCAGCATGTACTCACCCAGTGCCTGAGTGCCAGCGGCACCTCAGCATGTACTCACCCAGTGCCTGAGTGCCAGCGGCACCTCAGCATGTACTCACCCAGTGCCTGAGTGCCAGCGGCACCTCAGCATGTACTCACCCAGTGCTTGAGTGCCAGCGGCACCTCAGCTTGTACTCACCCAGTGCTTGAGTGCCAGCGGCACCTCAGCTTGTACTCACCCAGTGCCTGAGTCAGCAAGTACAGTCCCGCCATGATCCTCGCCTGCTTGTACAGTACACAACATCACTACCGGTTTAGCCAGTTTCCTAACAACTGTTATTTCATATATTGGACAAAACTTCTGAAATATTTTTTACTTCCTTCAGACATTCATATAAGAAACTAGGCATGACAGTAACTGTGTAATATAACTGCACCTGCTACAGTGGTTACGTTATGACATATATAGGTATATGTCATATAACTAATCTTGTTACAGTGGTTACGTTATGATATATATAGATAATATGTCATATAACTATACTTGCTACAGTGGTTACATTTTGACATATATAGATAATATGTCATATAACTATACTTGCTACAGTGGTTACATTTTGACATATATAGATAATATGTCATATAACTATACTTGCTTCAGTGGTTACATTTTGACATATATAGATAATATGTCATATAACTATACTTGCTTCAGTGGTTACATTTTGACATATATAGTTATATGTCATATAACTAATCTTGCTACAGTGGTTACATTTTGACACATATAGATAATCTATATAAATAAAAATGGAAATGTTCGTTTGTTCAAAATCACTAATCTATAAGAGTTCTTCACTGATTGCTTTAAAATTTTCACACAACGTTCCATTCGCATCCGGCCAGGTTTTTATATACATACTATATAAATGTCACGTCTGTGACGGGAAAAACATGCTTTTTCTGAAAAACTGTTTTTTTCATGTGATTTTCAGGTGAGGAAAATCTTCGAAACCTCTTTACCGATTGCTTTGAAATTTTGACACAACGTTGCATTCGAATAGGCGCATCATTATATATATCTACTATATACATATCTCACCTGTGACAGGAAAAAACATGCTTTTTTTGGAAAACAGCGCCATCTGTTGAATGTTAGAGCAACACACGCTGTAATCTCTGAAAGTTCTTCACTGATTGCATTGAAATTTTGACACACCGTTGCATTCGAATATGCGCGTGGTTTTATATACAAATTATAGAGATAAAACCCCTGTGACAGGTAAAAACATGCGTTTTTGAAAAATAGCGCCATCTGTTGCACATAATTAGTATATGTATATATGCCACACTTGTGACAGGTAACACTATACTTTTCTTGAAAAACAGCACCATCTGTCGCATGTAAGAGCAACACATGCTATACTCATTATGTTACAATTCCATTTCAGTGTTTCTGATAGCATTGATAAATTGAATTTTCGGAGATTTTGATTTAATTATTTTGTGTGAACTGCGTTGGAATTGAGCTGTGTTGTTTACAATACCGTTCATTTCGTGAGTTCAGTTTATTTTTTATATTTTCATTTCATTTTTTAACTGTTTTTCCATATATTTCAGTGATAGGAACATCAGATCACTTGATGTTTCCAATTTTCTGATGGGAACATCAAACCATTTGGGAAGGCATCGGACGAGGGAGTGGGGAATGGTGGGGAGGACGAGGGGACGGAAGTGAGTGATGGTGGGGAGGACGAGGGGACAAGGGAGAGGGTAATGGTGGGGAAGGACGAGGAGACGGGGGAGCTTGGGATGGTGGGGGTGAGGGGATGGGGGAAAGGAGAATGGTGGGGAGGACAAATGGACAGGGGAGTGGGGCATGGTGGGAAGGAAGAAGGGGTGGTGGAGTGGCGAATGGTGGGGAGAACGAGGAGGCAGGTGAGGCGGGATTGGTGGAGAGGACTGGGGGACAGGGAAGGTTGCTGAAGTTCAGCAACGCGCCACAGCAACGCGTGGCCGGGTACTGCTAGTATGTAATATAACTGTACTTGCTACAGTAGTTACATAATGTTCACATATTTTGGTCTTTTCTTCAGTATTTAGGAAAACGGATGAGAGAAGTTTAATATTTTCAAGACCTTCTATAAAATATATCAAATAATTTTATTATTTGAAATATTATATTATTATAATATAAATATTATATTTGAAATATTATTTGGCTAATGTAATATGATAAGAGAACACTCTGGTCAACAATTATGGGTCACCGTGTAGAGGGGTACAACCGGTTCTCTGACCAGGCAAACCAGACCTCTCTCAAGGGAACTAGAGCTCCATTCGTAAGAAGTAGAACTACTCTTAGTCTTAGGCGAACCAGAGCTCCCCAGTCACGAACCAGAGTTTCTCGGGAGAAAAGGCGCTCTCCCTATTAGAACCAAAGATGCCCTCAGAAAAACCAGAGATCCCCTCAGCAGTACCAAAGCTCCCCTTAGAAGAAATACAGCTCACGTCAGGAGAACAGGAGTTTCCTGAGGAGAAATAGAGCCTCCCTCACGACCGGAAAACCTTCCTCCCTCAGGAAAACCTAAGCTCCCTCAGGAAAACCAAAACTCCCTCAGAAGAACCAGTGCTCCCTCAGAAGACCCTGTGCTCCCTCAGAAGAACCAGTACTCCCTCAGAAGAATCAAAACTCCCTCAGTAGACCCAGAGCTCCCTCAGAAGAACCAGAGCGCCCTTAGGAGAACTAAAACTCCCTTATGGGAATCAAGGCTCCATCTGGAAGTCAAGAAGAATCAAGGCTCCATCTGGAAGAGTTCCGTCAAGAGATTCAAAGCTTCTCTTAACAAAACCAGCGCCCCTCTCAGGAGAACCAGATTGTGTATTTGAAGGCAATGCCCGCATACCTGAAGCTTTATTCCTTATATCTGACCTCCCACCATACCCTTACATGTGACCCCAGCAGAACCAGAGCTTCCTACAAAATAACAAGAGTTACCCCAATGGGAACCAGAGGTCTATCAGGAAAACCGAAGCTCTCTTTAGAAGAACAAGAGCTGTTCTTAGGAGAGCCACAGATCCCCTCATAAAAACAAGAGCTGTTCTTAGGAGACCCACAACTCCCCTCATAAGAACAAGAGCTGTTCCTATGAGACCCTCAGCTCCCCTCATAAGAACAAGAGCTGTTCGTAGGAGCCCTCAGCTCCCCTCAATCAAATTAGAGCTTTTCCTCAGGGAAACCAAAATTCCTCCGCAATAGAAAACAAATTACCCTCAGGGCAACCGGAGGTCAACTCAGAAAAATTAACCTTCCCTTGGGAGAACCAGATCTCGCTCGGGAGAACCAGATCTCCCTCAAGAGAACCAGATCTCCCTCAGGAGAACCAGAGCTCCTCAAGAGAACCAGAGCTCCTTCGGGAGAACTAGATCTCCCTCAGGAGAACCAGAGCTCTTCAAGAGAACCAGAGATCCCTCGGGAGAACCAGAGCTCATTCAGGAGAACCAGAGTTCCTCAAGAGAACCAGAGCTTCCTCAGGAGAATAGAGCTCCCTCGGGAGATCCAGAGTTCCCATGGGAACACCAGAGCTCCCTCAGGAGAACCAGAGCTCCCTCAAGAGAACCTGAGCTCCCTTGGGAGAACCAGAGCTCGCTCGGGAGAACCAGATCTCCCTCAGGAGAACCAGAGCTCCTCAAGAGAACCAGAGCTCCTTCGGGAGAACTAGATCTCCCTCAGGAGAACCAGAGCTCTTCAAGAGAACCAGAGCTCCCTCGGGAGAACCAGAGCTCATTCAGGAGAACCAGAGCTCCTCAAGAGAACCAGAGCTCCCTCGGGAGAACCAGAGCTCCTCAAGAGAATCAGAGCTCCCTTGGGAGAACCAGAGCTCCCTCAAGAGAGCCAGAGCTCTCTCAGGAGAACCAGAGCTCCCTTAGGAAAACTTGAGCTCCCCAGGAGAACCAGAGCTCCCTCAAAAGAACCAGAGTTCTCTCAGGCGAACCAGAGCTCTCTCAGGAGAACCATAGCTACCTCGGGAGAACCAGAGCTCCCTCAGGAGAACCAGAACTCCCTCAAGAGAACCAGAGCTCATTCAGGAGAACCAGAGCTCCCTCAAGAGAACCAGAGCTCATTCAGGAGAACCTGAGCTCCCTCAGGGGAACCAGAGCTCCCCCTGAAGAACCAAAGCTCCTTCAGCAACAGAGCTTCCTCTGAAGAACCAGAGCTTCCTCAGGAGAACCATAGCTCTCTCATGAGATCCAAATAGAACCATATGCCGCCATTAGAAGAACGAGAGCTCCCCCAGGGAGAACCATACCTCCATCAGAAGAACAAGGGCTCCTTCCGGAGAACAAGAGATCCCATTGGAGAACCAGAGCTCCCTGACAACTGAAGTTCCCTCGGGGGAGAACTCCTAAGGAGTTAGGAGAATCATACCTTTCGCACACATCATCAGCACCAATATACACAAACCCATACCTTTCATACACTTCATCAGCACCAGTATACATAAACACATACCTTTCATACACTTCATCAGCACCAATATACATAAACACATACCTTTCATACACTTCATCAGCACCAGTATACACAAACCCATACCTTTCATACACTTCATCAGCACCAATATACATAAACAGTTAACTAGTGACGACCTGCCCTTACCGTACTCAGCCAAGTGTCTAGGAAGACTGGTGTGAACTGAGCCTCACCTGTGTACAGCAGAGATCCCTCCCTCATCTCTGAACTCACCTGTGCAAAGTTAATCTCAAACACAGCTGTGCAGAAGTGTCGTCACACAGCTGTGAGTGACGCAGTTCTGGCCAGGGACGTCCACACCCTAACACAAAGAAGCCATATGGAGAGGTGTTTACCACAGTGTTGTTACCCAAGCCTCGGTGATGCTATACACTGCCTTCCTGCCCTCTCTTAACAACCCACACTCTCTGCCTCTCATACCAATTACTGCCTTCCTGCCCTCTCTTAACAACCCACACTCTCTGCCTCTCATACCAATTACTGCCTTCCTGCCCTCTCTTAACAACCCACACTCTCTGCCTCTCATACCAATTACTGCCTTCCTGCCCTCTCTTAACAACCCACACTCTCTGCCTCTCATACCAATTACTGCCTTCCTGCCCTCTCTTAACAACCCACACTCTCTGCCTCTCATACCAATTACTGCCTTCCTGCCCTCTCTTAACAACCCACACTCTCTGCCTCTCATACCAATTACTGCCTTCCTGCCCTCTCTTAACAACCCACACTCTCTGCCTCTCATACCAATTACTGCCTTCCTGCCCTCTCTTAACAACCCACACTCTCTGCCTCTCATACCAATTACTGCCTTCCTGCCCTCTCTTAACAACCCACACTCTCTGCCTCTCATACCAATTACTGCCTTCCTGCCCTCTCTTAACAACCCACACTGTCTGCCTCTCATACCAATTACTGCCTTCCTGTCCTCTCTTAACAACCCACACTCTCTGCCTCTCATACCAATTACTGCCTTCCTGCCCTCTCTTAACAACCCACACTCTCTGCCTCTCATACCAATTACTGCCTTCCTGCCCTCTCTTAACAACCCACACTGTCTGCCTCTCATACCAATTACTGCCTTCCTGCCCTCTCTTAACAACCCACACTCTCTGCCTCTCATACCAATTACTGCCTTCCTGCCCTCTCTTAACAACCCACACTCTCCGCCTCTCATACCAATTACTGCCTTCCTGCCCTCTCTTAACAACCCACACTCTCTGCCTCTCATACCAATTACTGCCTTCCTGCCCTCTCTTAACAACCCACACTCTCTGCCTCTCATACCAATTACTGCCTTCCTGCCCTCTCTTAACAACCCACACTCTCCGCCTCTCATACCAATTACTGCCTTCCTGCCCTCTCTTAACAACCCACACTCTCTGCCTCTCATACCAATTACTGCCTTCCTGCCCTCTCTTAACAACCCACACTCTCCGCCTCTCATACCAATTACTGCCTTCCTGCCCTCTCTTAACAACCCACACTCTCTGCCTCTCATACCAATTACTGCCTTCCTGCCCTCTCTTAACAACCCACACTCTCTGCCTCTCATACCAATTAATACTTTAATTATTCAGAAACAAACGATGGTAATTATTGTTATGGTCAGCCGCGCCTTCCTGCACGTACGTGACCCTGGTTAATGGTTAGGGTGAACTGGTTAATGGTTAGGGTGAACTGGTTAATGGTTAGGCTGAACTGGTTAATGGTTAGGGTGAACTGGTTAATGGTTAGGGTGAACTGGTTAATAGTTAAGGTGAACTAGTTAATGGTTAAGGTGAACTGGTTAATGGTTAAGGTGAACTGGTTAATGGTTAGGGTGAAATGGTTAATGGTTAAGGTGAACTGGTTAATGGTTAGGCTGAACTGGTTAATGGTTAGGGTGAACTGGTTAATGGTTAGGCTGAACTGGTTAATGGTTAAGATGAATTGGTTAATGGTTAGGGTGAACTGGTTAATAGTTAAGGTGAACTAGTTAATGGTTAAGGTGAACTGGTTAATGGTTAAGGTGAACTGGTTAATGGTTAAGGTGAACTGGTTAATGGTTAAGGTGAACTGGTTAATGGTTAAGGTGAACTGGTTAATGGTTAGGGTGAAATGGTTAATGGTTAAGGTGAACTGGTTAATGGTTAGGCTGAACTGGTTAATGGTTAGGGTGAACTGGTTAATGGTTAAGGTGAACTGGTTAATGGTTAAGGTGAACTGGTTAATGGTTAAGGTGAACTGGTTAATGGTTAAGGTTAACTGGTTAATGGTTAAGGTGAACTGGTTAATGGTTAAGGTGAACGGGTTAATGGTTAAGGTGAACTGGTTAATGGTTAAGGTGAACTGGTTAATGGTTAGGGTGAACTGGTTAATGGTTAAGGTAAACTGGTTAATGGTTAAGGTGAACTGGTTAATGGTTAAGGTTAACTGGTTAATGGTTAAGGTGAACTGGTTAATGGTTAAGGTTAACTGGTGAATGGTTAAGGTTAACTGGATAATGGTTAAGGTTAACTGGCTAATGGTTAAGGTTAACTGGTTAATGGTTAGGGTGAACTGGTTAATGGTTAAGGTGAACTGGTTAATGGTTAAGATGAACTGGTTAATGGTTAAGGTGAACTGGTTAATGGTTAAGAGGAACTGGTTAATGGTTAAGGTTAACTGGTTAATGGTTAAGGTTAACTGGTTAATGGTTAAGGTGAACTGGTTAATGGTTAAGGTGAACGGGTTAATGGTTAAGGTGAACTGGTTAATGGTTAAGGTGAACTGGTTAATGGTTAGGGTGAACTGGTTAATGGTTAAGGTAAACTGGTTAATGGTTAAGGTGAACTGGTTAATGGTTAAGGTTAACTGGTTAATGGTTAAGGTGAACTGGTTAATGGTTAAGGTTAACTGGTGAATGGTTAAGGTTAACTGGATAATGGTTAAGGTTAACTGGCTAATGGTTAAGGTTAACTGGTTAATGGTTAGGGTGAACTGGTTAATGGTTAAGGTGAACTGGTTAATGGTTAAGATGAACTGGTTAATGGTTAAGGTGAACTGGTTAATGGTTAAGAGGAACTGGTTAATGGTTAAGGTTAACTGGTTAATGGTTAAGGTGAACTGGTTAATGGTTAAGGTGAACTGGTTAATGATTAAGGTGAACTGGTTAATGGTTAAGATGAACTGGTTAATGGTTAAGATGAACTGGTTAATGGTTAGGGTGAACTGGTTAATGGTTAAGGTGAACTGGTTAATGGTTAAGATGAACTGGTTAATGGTTAAGGTGAACTGGTTAATGGTTAAGAGGAACTGGTTAATGGTTAAGGTGAACTGGTTAATGATTAAGGTGAACTGGTTAATGGTTAAGATGAACTGGTTAATGGTTAAGATGAACTGGTTAATGGTTAGGGGTGACCTGGTTAATGATTAATGAGACTGCTCAGTGTGGAGACCGTTATTTTGAGATGATTTCGGGGCTTTTAGTGTCCCCGCGGCCCGGTCCTCGACCAGGCCTCCACCCCCAGGAAGCAGCCCGTGACAGCTGACTAACACCCAGGTACCTATTTTACTGCTAGGTAACAGAAACAGGGTGAATAGGGTAAAAGAAACTCTGCCCATTGTTTCTCGCCGGCGCCTGGGATCGAACTCAGGTCCACAGGATCACAAGTCCAGCATGCTGTCCGCCCTCAGCTGTGCAGCCGGTGAGAACAACGGCTCCACGCCGTGCACAGTAGGGAGACCGTGCTCAGTGTGGAGACTGTGCTTAGTGTGCAGACTGTGCACAGTGAGGAGACTGCGCATAGTGTGGAGACTGTGCTTAGTGTGGAGACTGTGCTTAGTGTGGAGACTGTGCTTAGTGTGGAGACTGTGCACATTGTAAAGACTGTGCACAGTGTGGAGACTGTGCACATTGTAAAGACTGTGCTCAGTGGAGACTGTGCACATTATAAAGACTGTGCTCAGTGTGGAGACTTTGCACATTGTGAAGACTGTGCACAGTGTGGAGACTGTGCACATTGTAAAGACTGTGCAAAGTGTGGAGACTGTGCACATTGTAAAGACTGTGCACAGTGTGGAGACTGTGCACATTGTAAAGACTGTGCACAGTGTGGAGACTGCGCACATTGTTAAGACTGTGCTCAGTGTGGAGACTGTGCACATTGTAAAGACTGTGCACAGTGTGGAGACTGTGCACATTGTAAAGACTGTGCACAGTGTGGAGACTGTGCACATTGTAAAGACTGTGCACATTGTAAAGACTGTGCACAATGTGGACACTGTGCACAATGTGGAGACTGTGCTCAGTGTGGAGACTGTGCACAGTGTGGAGACTGTGCACATTGTAAAGACTGTGCTCAGTGTGGAGACTGCGCACATTGTTAAGACTGTGCTCAGTGTGGAGACTGTGCACATTGTAAAGACTGTGCTCAGTGGAGACTGTG